CACAGTTCTGTTTTTCTTTAGGTACACATATACAGATGAAACTCGAAAAATTAGAATATCGTGCAAAAGTTAATTTATTTCAGTAATGCAACTTAAAAGGTGAAACTAATATATGAGATAGACTCATTACATGCAAATCAAGATAGTTTGTCATAATTGTGATGATTATGGCTTACAGCTCATGAAAACCCCAAATCCACAATCTCAGAAAATTAGAATATTGTGAAAAGGTGCGATATTCTCAGCTCAAAGTGTCCCACTCTAATCAGCTAATTAAGCCATAACACCTGCAAAGGGTTCCTGAGCCTTTAAATGGTCTCTCAGTCTGGTTCAGTAGGAATCACAATCATGGGAAAGACTGCTGACCTGACAGTGGTGCAGAAAACCATAATTGACACCCTCCATAAGGAGGAAAAGCCTCAAAAGGTAATTGCAAAAGAAGTTGGATGTTCCCAAAGTGCTGTATCAAAGCACATTAATAGAAAGCTATGTGGAAGGCAAAAGTGTAGAAGAAAAAGCTGCACAAGCAGCAGGGATGACCGCAGCCTTGAGAGAATTGTCAGGAAAAGGCCACTCAAAAGTGTTGGGGACTTTCACAAGGAGTGGACTGAGGCTGGAGTCAGTGCATCAAAAGCCACAACACACAGCATCAAGAGCCACAACACACAGAGGGATCTTGGACATGGGCTTAAAATGCCATATTCCTCTTTTCAAGCTGCTCCTGAGCAACAAACAATGTCAGAAGCGTTTCTAAAGAGGTGTAATGCAAGTAACTGGCACATTCCACACATACTGTAGACTATAGCTTGGGTCAGTTAAAGTACTTTGGGGTACCAAGACACAAGTAGTTCCCAAGGTTTATGGAGGTTTACTGAGCAGCCTGCCATGTGTAACCTATGATAGGTGAGGCAGCCTCTTGCATCAAAAGAGACGTTGGTGGCACTCTCTCTGTGAATGGTCCAAATCCCATAGCAACAAGAGCAGATCTGCACTGCAGAGATCCTCAGCCTGTGCATAGGTACAGAAGAGGAAGAGTTAAGTGAGTGCACACATGGAGTTCACGCTAGGTGCACAGCGGGGCTCCAGTCCATTACTGGGAGTGAGGTAATGGAGATACCTCACAGGTGGACTAGACATGTGCAGAACGATTTGATTTGTTAGATAAATCATTTTGTTTCATTTATTTTGTGTTGTTTCCTTTATTTGATTTTGAATTTTCCTAATTCAGTCTAATTGAATTCAATTAGACTGAATTTGGAAAATTCAAATTTATTCTATTCGAAATTTGATTTTGGAAGACCGGAATATTCTATTCTATTTTATTCTATTCTATTTTTTTACTCTATTCTGCTCTATTCTATTACATTCTATTCTAATCTATTTTATTAGCATTCAAAATGTATTCTATTCAAAATTCAAATTTCAGAAAAAGGGTTATATTCTTTCTGTTTTATTCTATTAAATTCTATTCTTTATTTGAATTTCGAAAGACGATTATATTCTTTCTATTCTATTGTTTTTGCTATTCTATTCTTTTCTATTCTAATTTCTTCTTTTATTTTCTATTCTAATATAATTCAAATTTATTCTATGTTTATAAATGTTTATATTCTTTCTATTTCATTCTGTTCTATTGTATTGTTTTTTACCATTCTATTCTATCTTTTATTTTCTATTCTATTCTATTCTAACCTATTCTATTAAAATTCAAATATATTCTATTCAATATTTGAATTTCAGAAGACATTTATATTCTTTCTATTGTATTATATTCTAATCTATAGTTTTTTGATATTTTATTCTATTCTTTTCATTTATATTCTCTTCCCCCTACACGGAAATGCAATATTACGCATATATATTCATGGCCGCTGCTGTCAATCACCATTGCTGAGCATCTCTGACGGGGGGGGGGGGGGGGAGGAGAACTGTAACAAAACAGTTCTTCCTGTCAGCTCGTGCACACTGCTTTGCATGGCTGTAAACACACTGCTTTGCACAGCACAGCCATGCAAAGCAGTGTGTTTACAGTGAAGCAATAACACACAGCCCCTAGTAAAACACACCCAGAACACAGTTAAGCCTTTGATCGCCCCACATATTAACCCCTTCCTGTCCTGTGGCATTAGTATAGTGTCAGTGCTTTTTATTAGCACTGATCACTGTATTGGTGTCACTGGCGATGTCAATGACACCAAGTCAGTTCCCCTCAGTGTCAGACTGCCCGACGCAGTTCTGCCATAAGTCGCTGATCGTCACCATTACTAGTAAAAATTACAAAAATGTAAAAATCTCAGTATATATATTGCCATTTTTAGACGCTATATCTTTCACGTAAACCAATTCGTTTACACGTATTAGGATTTTTTTTTCAGCAAAGACATATCACAGAATACATTTTGTCCTAAATTTATGATGTAATTTGATTTTTAAAGTTTTGCTACTGGACATGTTTAATAGCAAAAAAGTCAAATATATTGTTTTTTTTTTTTCAAAACTGTCAGTCTTTTTTTTTTTTTTTTTTCATAGTGCAAAAAATAAAAAATGCAGAGGCGATCAAATACCACCAAAAGAAAGCTCTATCTGTGGGAAAAATAGGACGTAAATTTAATTTGGGTGCAGTGTTGCATGACGCACAATTGTCCGTTAAAATAATGCAGCACCATAAACAAAAAATGGCCTGGTCAGGAAGGGTGGAAAATCCTCTGGAGGGCAAGCAGTTATATTCCATTCATTTATTTTCTATTCTATTATTTAATTTTGTATTCTTTTCTGTTCTGTTTTGTTTTACTCTATTATTTCTATTCTATTATTTTCTTTTCTTTTATTTTCTATTCTATTATTTTCTATTCTATTATTTTCTATTCTATTCCCTTATTTTCTATTCTTTTCTATTCTTATTTACTCTATTGTTTTCTATTCTATTCTAATTTATTCTATTTTTTTATTTTCTATTCTGTTCTGTTTTATTCTATTCTTTTCTTTTCTATTCTTTTATTTTCTATTGTATTTTATTCTATTCCTACATACATCTGAATCTTCAAATATTGAAAAATTTGTCTGAATGGAACAATACAAACCACACATGTCTAGGCTCAGCGTGTCCCTCCCAAATGCAACAGAGACAGTATAGTGTCCACTAACATGGGGCCTGAGGAGTTAACCAGGGTACAGTTTATTGTTCAAGTGTACACATTGTACAGCACAAGTAAAGGTACCCCATGTGTAAGGCGAGTGACCCTGTCCAAAGTGCCTAGCATAGCCCAGAAGAACCCATCCTGGGGTAGGCCTCTTATGTGGCCCACACTTGGCAGGAGGCTCCACCTGCCTACCCTTAAATGCTAAACAACTAATCTATTTCAAGTTTAGAGTGTAGACATAGAAGAGTCCAATTACAGGATGTCTGAGCCCTCTGGTGACACCTGCAGCACAAGTGACAGGAATGGACTGGCCAGCAATAGTGGGACTCAGCTGCCTTATGAGCTGCAGTACCAGGGCTGGCCAGCGGCTGCTCCCAGCAATCAGAGACTCAACTTTGCAGCCAGCTAACACCTGGAACTGATTATGCTGGGGTATTTAAGGGATGGCCAGACCCACAGACTCTGCCTTGGTGTTGTGTTTGTCCTGGGCCCTGTATCTGTCCTGCATCCTGTTTCTGTTCCTTGCTGACCCTGCCTGATCTGAACTGCTGCTGACTTCTCCTGCTCTGATCTCGGTTCGCTCCTGACCATCCCTCTGCCTGACCCTCTGTACTACGCTGCTTGCTACCTGTTCTGATCCCTGGCTTGTGACCCTGACCATCCCTCTGCCTGACCCTCTGTACTACGCTGCTTGCTACCTGCTGAACCTGGCCTGTGACCCCGACCATTCTCCGCTTGCTCCCCCTGTACCTACCTGCCCAATTGATATTGACCCGGCCTGCCTGACGACGCTTGCTTGTATGTACTGTTATCTGTGGGTGGTTGGTTGGGTTTGTTTGCACTGTATTATGTTTAGTATTGCACTGCGTTTATGTTTGTATTGTTAGTGTTAATAAATTATATTGTTTTTCACATATCTGAAGTCTGCGTTTCCCTGCAACAGTCACACACCTCTGGTCATACCTGGGAGCCCTGACATTACACCAAGGCCAATCCTGACCAGAAGTGGCTGCACAGGGAAGCCATCTTGGCTTGTTGCTGGGAAGGATGGATCTGGATGAGGTTGCGTATTTATATCTGCTAGTGTTTGATGACAGGGAGTATGCTTATCAAACTCTGAAGGAGTATACCCGGGATGAACTGCTAGAATGTATACGGCTCGCTCATGTTCTAGTAGATCAGGGCACAGAGTTCTCTGAGGTGCAGCCTTTGATTGAGGTTTGTGCTGAGTTGGTTTCATCTGGTACCCCCGAATGCAGGGATGAATTTTTGCCACCATTTAGTGCAGACCAGGTAGAGTCCCTGGTGTGGTTATTAGAGGATGATGTGGGTTACTTTCTGGAGCGTTATTCCACATGTTCACCACAGACACTAAGAGATTGTATAAACGCAGTGCAGTCTTTGGTCAGACAGGCTTTGTGTAAGCTCAGCTTTGTTCAACCCATACTGCAGACATGGACAGACTTGTTGCACCCAGCCTCAGTCAGCTTACAAAAACCCAGTCCTGCTTCTAATCTATCTCCTCAAAGCTCTACTCCTGCATTCCCAACAGCTCCTCCAGTGACAGCCCAGTATACTTGGCTTTCTACCGCATGTCAGTACCCTGTTTCCCACTCGCTGCACCTATCCTGCCTTTAACCCTGTAAAAAAGCCCTCTGTAGCAACCGCTCCCTCTCCTGTTCCATCCTCCAGTTCTTCTGTCTCCAGCTGCTCCATTCGTTTGCAGACCTGCGTTTACTTGCAGTGCTCCAGTAGTTAAAACCAGAAAAAAGCGAAAATTCTTTCCAACCAATACCATCCTGCCAGTATCCAAACCGGTAAACCTGCCTTCCGTGACTCAGCCTGAAGCCTCTACTCAGCCTGAATCCTCTACTCAGCCTGATGCCTGTATGCGGCCTGAAGCCTCTACTCGGCCTGAAGCCTCTACTCGGCCTGAATCCTCTACCAGCCTGATGCCTGTACTCAGCCTGATGCCTGTACTCAGCCTGATGCCTGTACGCAGCCTGATGCCTCTCTTCGGCCTGAAGCCTCTACTCGGCCTGAAGCCTCTACTCGGCCTGAAGCACCTCTACTCGGCCTGAAGCCTCTACTCAGCCGGACGCCGGCATTCAGCCTGATGCCTCTACCCAGCATGATGAACTGATCCAGCCTGACGATCCTATTAGGCCAGTTGACTCGATGCCCGCTGTTGATCCAGATGATCCGGTACCTGATCCGGTGCCCGCTGTCGTGCCAATTGACTCAGAGCCCGCTGTCGTACCTGGTGACTCGGTGCCCACTGCCTTGCCAGATGACGCGGTGCCCGCTGGCAAGCCAAATGACCTGATGCCTGGTGACCCAGTGCCCGCTGTCATACCTGGTGACCCGATGCCCGCTGTCGAGCCAGACAATCCGGTACCTGATGACCCAGTGCCCACTGTCGTGCCAGTTGACTCGGAGCCCACTGCCTTGCCAGATGACGCGGTGCCCGCTGTCGAGCCAAATGACCTGATGCCTGGTGACCCGATGCCCGCTGTCCAGCCCCAGACGATTCAATGTCTGCCCCAGTGCCCCGCGGTCATGCCAGTTGACTCGGAGCCCACTGCCTTGCCAGATGACGCGGTGCTCGCTGTCGAGCCAAATGACTTGATGCCTGGTGACCCGATGCCCGCTGTCCAGTCAGACGATCCAATGTCTGACCCAGTGCCCGCGGTCATACCAGTTGACTCGGAGCCCACTGCCTTGCCAGATGACGCGGTGCCCGCGGTCGAGCCAAATGACCTGATGCCTGGTGACCCGATGCCCGCTGTCCAGCCAGACGATCCAATGTCTGACCCAGTGCCAGCGGTCATGCCAGTTGACTCGGAGCCCACTGTCGTGCCTGGTGACTCGGCGCCCGCCGCTCCGCCTGGGGGCCCGAGACCTGTCGCTCCGCCTGGGGGCCCGAGACCTGTCGCTCCACCTGGGGGTCCGGCGCCCGCCGCTCCGCCTGAGGGCCCGAGACCTGTCGCTCCACCCGGGGGTCCGGCGCCCGCCGCTCCGCCTGAGGGCCCGAGACCTGTCACTCCTCATCTGGGGTCCGGCGCCCGCCGCTCTGCCTGGGGGCCCGAGACCTGTCGCTCCGCCTGGGGGCCCGAGACCTGTCGCTCCACCTGGGGGTCCGGCGCCCGCCGCTCCGCCTGAGGGCCCGAGACCTGTCGCTCCACCCGGGGTCCCGGCGCCCGCCGCTCCGCCTGAGGGCCCGAGACCTGTCACTACTCCATCTGGGGGTCCGGCGCCCCTTGCTCTCCACCTGTCGCCCCGGCTGGGGGCCCGATGCCTCTTGCCCCGCCTGGGGGCCCGATGCCTGTTGACCCGCCTGGGGGCCCGATGCCTGTCGCCCCGCCTGGGGGCCCGGCACCCGCTGCTCCGCCTCGGGGCCCGACGCCCGTCGCCCCGCCTGGGGGCCCGACGCCCTTCGCCCCCCCCTGGGGGCCCGACGCCAGCCGCCCTGCCTGGGGGCCCGTCGCCCCACCTGGGGGCCCGATGCCTGTCGCCCCCGCCTGGGGGCCCGATGCCTGCTGCTCTGCCCGGGGGCCCGTCCGGTGCCTGCTGCTCTGCCCGGGGGCCCAGCAATCAGAGACTCAACTTTGCAGCCAGCTAACACCTGGAACTGATTATGCTGGGGTATTTAAGGGATGGCCAGACCCACAGACTCTGCCTTGGTGTTGTGTTTGTCCTGGGCCCTGTATCTGTCCTGCATCCTGTTTCTGTTCCTTGCTGACCCTGCCTGATCTGAACTGCTGCTGACTTCTCCTGCTCTGATCCCGGCTCGCTCCTGACCATCCCTCTGCCTGACCCTCTGTACTATGCTGCTTGCTACCTGTTCTGATCCCTGGCTTGTGACCCTGACCATTCCCTCTGCCTGACCCTCTGTACTACGCTGCTTGCTACCTGCTGAACCTGGCCTGTGATCCCGACCATTCTCCGCTTGCTCCCCCTGTACCTACCTGCCCAATTGATATTGACCCAGCCTGCCTGACGACGCTTGCTTGTATGTACTGTTATCTGTGGGTGGTTGGTTGGGTTTTGTTTGCACTGTATTATGTTTAGTATTGCACTGCGTTTATGTTTGTATTGTTAGTGTTAATAAATTATATTGTTTATCACATATCTGAAGCCTGCGTTTCCCTGCGTCAGTCACACACCTCTGGTCATACCTGGGAGCCCTGACAACAAGTATTATAATGGAAAAACAGTAGCAACCAAACTAATCCTCTGAAAGACCTCAACAAAACAATACAGTAGCAGGATGAGCATTCCTAATGAGGAGGCAACTTGCCTACAGACATAATAATCACCATCAAGTCATCCAAGGCTGGTTATAGACATTAGACATTAGTCCTTTCTGAGGTGATTGGCAATGAGTCAACTGTTCATCCTCAATCCCTCCACACTAGTGGTTATGACTTGGCCAAGTGGAAAGAAGCACATAGAAAGGGAAGGACACATCCAAAATGCTATATCATGGTGTATACAGTATATCAAGATCACTTCAAATAATCTCATAAACAAGCCCTACACACTCTGCTTGCTCATTGCACAATCAACACAGCAAAGGATCAATTGGCATGGAGTTGGGTCACATTTTAACCATCTGGTTTTACTGCCTCCTGGCACCTAAGAGTGAAAATTCTTTAAAAATTCTTAAAATTCTTAAAAATGCCCATTCTTTAAAATGGTCATAAACCTTAGGCATGAATATCACTCAGGTATGATTTGACTGCTGAACATTTAATCTACTTCAAGATTATAGAGCGTAGACATGAAGAGTCAAACTCCATGATCTCTAAGCCCTCTGGGAATTCCCACAACACAAGCATTACTGTGGGAGAACAGTAGCAACTAAACCGATCATCTTTAAGACCTCAATGAAAAAGATAGCAGGATGAGGAAGTCTATTGAGGATGCAACTTGTCTACAAACATAACAATCACCATCAAGTCACCTATGGCTGATTGTAGACATTAGAAGTCTCTGAGGTCACTAGCAATCTGGGGGTCCGGCGCCCCTTGCTCCACCTGTCGCCCCGGCTGGGGGGCCCGATGCCTCTTGCCCCGCCTGGGGGCCCGATGCCTGTTGACCCGCCTGGGGCCCGATGCCTGTCGCCCCGCCTGGGGCCCGGCACCCGCCGCTCCGCCTGGGGGCCCGACGCCCGTCGCCCCGCCTGGGGGCCCGACGCCCGTCGCCCCGCCTGGGGGCCCGACGCCAGCCGCCCTGCCTGGGGGCCCGTCGCCCCGCCTGGGGGCCCGATGCCTGTCGCCCCCCGCCTGGGGGCCCGATGCCCTGATGCCTGCTGCTCTGCCCGGGGGCCCGGTGCCTGCTGCTCTGCCCGGGGGCCCCAGCAATCAGAGACTCAACTTTGCAGCCAGCTAACACCTGGAACTGATTATGCTGGGGTATTTAAGGGATGGCCAGACCCACAGACTCTGCCTTGGTGTTGTGTTTGTCCTGGGCCCTGTATCTGTCCTGCATCCTGTTTCTGTTCCTTGCTGACCCTGCCTGATCTGAACTGCTGCTGACTTCTCCTGCTCTGATCCCGGCTCGCTCCTGACCATCCCTCTGCCTGACCCTCTGTACGCTGCTTGCTACCTGTTCTGATCCCTGGCTTGTGACCCTGACCATCCCCTCTGCCTGACCCTCTGTACTACGCTGCTTGCTACCTGCTGAACCTGGCCTGTGATCCCGACCATTCTCCGCTTGCTCCCCCCTGTACCTACCTGCCCAATTGATATTGACCCAGCCTGCCTGACGACGCTTGCTTGTATGTACTGTTATCTGTGGGTGGTTGGTTGGGTTTGTTTGCACTGTATTATGTTTAGTATTGCACTGCGTTTATGTTGGTATTGTTAGTGTTAATAAATTATATTGTTTATCACATATCTGAAGCCTGCGTTTCCCTGCGTCAGTCACACACCTCTGGTCATACCTGGGAGCCCTGACAACAAGTATTATAATGGAAAAACAGTAGCAACCAAACTAATCCTCTGAAAGACCTCAACAAAACAATACAGTAGCAGGATGAGCATTCCTAATGAGGAGGCAACTTGCCTACAGACATAATAATCACCATCAAGTCATCCAAGGCTGGTTATAGACATTAGACATTAGTTTCTGAGGTGATTGGCAATGAGTCAACTGTTCATCCTCAATCCCTCCACACTAGTGGTTATGACTTGGCCAAGTGGAAAGAAGCACATAGAAAGGGAAGGACACATCCAAAATGCTATATCATGGTGTATACAGTATATCAAGATCACTTCAAATAATCTCATAAACAAGCCCTACACACTCTGCTTGCTCATTGCACAATCAACACAGCAAGGATCAATTGGCATGGAGTTGGGTCACATTTTAACCATCTGGTTTTACTGCCTCCTGGCACCTAAGAGTGAAAATTCTTTAAAAATTCTTAAAATTCTTAAAAATGCCCATTCTTTAAAATGGTCATAAACCTTAGGCATGAATATCACTCAGGTATGATTTGACTGCTGAACATTTAATCTACTTCAAGATTAGAGCGTAGACATGAAGAGTCAAACTCCATGATCTCTAAGCCCTCTGGGAATTCCCACAACACAAGCATTACTGTGGGAGAACAGTAGCAACTAAACCGATCATCTTTAAGACCTCAATGAAAAAGATAGCAGGATGAGGAAGTCTATTGAGGATGCAACTTGTCTACAAACATAACAATCACCATCAAGTCATCTATGGCTGATTGTAGACATTAGAAGTCTCTGAGGTCACTAGCAATGAGTTTGACTTCCCATCCTCAATCCCTCCATGCTGCAGGTTACGACTTGGCCAAGGGAAAAGAAACACTTACAAGGTTTAACACTGATGATTTATAATAATACCCTACACACTATGCTTGCTCATTGCACAATCAACACAGCAAGGATCAATTGGCATGGAGTTGGGTCACATTTTAGCCATCTGGTTTTACTGCCTCCTGGCCGCCCATGTGAACGAACCCTAAGGGTAAAAATTCTTAAAAATGCCCATTCTTTAAAATGGTCATAAACCTTAGGCAGCCATATCACTCAGGTATGATTCTAATGCTGAACATTTAATCTACTTCAAGATTTGAGCGTAGACATGGAGAGTCAAACTGCATGTCTAAGCCATCTAGGAATTCTTACAGCACAAGCATTACTGTAGGAGAACAGTAGCAACCAAACCGATCCTCTTTAGGACCTCAATGAAAAAGATGGCAGGATGAGGATGTCTACTGAGGATGCAACTTGCCTACAGACACAACAATCACTATGGCTGATTATAGACATTAGAAGTCTCTGAGGTCACTGGCAATGAGTTCGACTTCCCATCCTCAATCCCTCCACACTGCAGGTCATGACTTGGCCAAGGGGAAAGAAGCACTTACAAGGTTTAACACTGATCACTTATAATAATACCCTAGACAAGCCCTACACACTCTGCTGGTCAATGCACAGTCCACATACCAAGGACCAATTGGCATGGAGTTGGATCACCCTACGTCTGGAGGCACCCTCCAATAAATGTCTTTCTTCTCCTTATTTTCTGCATCTTCCCTGCCTTGTTTACACACCCTTCCATTTCTTCCACTTATCCTATTCTCTCTATAAAGGAATCCACCCACGCTATCTCTCTCATTGCCAAATCCATGCTGTTGTGTGATTTAATCCATTAATCATTTCCTGCCTCTAGTTTCTATGTTTAGCTGTGCGTATGAATTAAGATGTAAGTCTGGATTTTGTGTTTATATTTAGACGTTGTTATGTTCCATGCAGTGACAAATCATTAAAACATAAGTTCTAGTACGGCGGAACTGGCAGTATCAATAGGCACCTGCACCACCGCAAACGGATGTTGATGCTTTAAAGTAGATTAATAACAAAAAAAGAAACAAGCTAAGGCGCATGTCAAAATCACATATTTTTAATTTAAAAAATACCTACTTTGGATAAAAAATACTGCTCAGAGCTCCACTGTCAATTAAGTAACGATGGCATGGACTAGCTGCCATGTTTTTTGTGGTTGTTTCACATCAACAGAGACTGCAGAGCTTCTGTTGTTTTCAATTTGACAGACTTTATTGGTGACATTAGCGAGAAGCAGAACATGCATATTTAATGAATCCTTGGCTTCCCCTATTTACATATATATAAGTACAATGCTATGCTGATTAAAGCAATGGTTTT